ACCATTCCTCCATTGTGGGTATTGCAGTGTCATTCCATTTTTTACCAGATATAGTAATCTTGCAGCGATGATTGTAAAGTGGTATGTTGGTTTTCAACTGTTTCAAAACTGGTCAAGTTTGGTACATGACACATTTTGACATGAAAATGTTGTCCCAATACCCAGCATTTGTTTAGTACTCAGTGTGTTGCAATAGTAGGAGGGGGAGACTGTGGAAAACAGACAGGAAGTCGGCTGCAAAAGGAAGTGGGGTACAGCCACAGAAGACAGACAGGAAGTCCACCATGCTGGGAAGGTCACTGACAAAGGAAAAGGGACAGATAGGAGGTTGTTCCTGGCAGAAACCAAAGGTCACATGATAAGTCACATGATTGGTTTGGTACTCGTCCTTTTTAGTACTCATCGCACCTCCTGGAACCAATTAACGGTGTGTACCAAGGTACCACTGTATATAAAAATAATCTTCCAAGGCTTATGTATAATTCTTGTAATACAGAAATTAACAGCCAATTGCCTTACATTTCACTTCCCATTGAATACAAGTGGCCCATGACTTACAACTATTTGTTTAATGACTGCTCAAAGTTACAATGTCACTGAAAAAAGTGACTCACACTTCTGACCACTGCAGCATCCCCACAGTCAAACGATCGGTTGCTTGGCAATGGTTGCAGAATCCTGGCATCCTGGATTGTCACTTGCAACCTTCCTAGGATGCTTCTGATAAGCGAAATCAATGGGGGAAACCAGATTCACCTAGCAGTCACACAATTCACGTAACAACTGTAGTGATTTGCTTAACAACCATGGCAAAAAAGGTTGCAAAATGGGGGCATGACTCACTTAACAATTGTCTTGCTTAGCAACAGAGACTTTGGGCTTGATTGTGGTCGTAAGTCAAGGACTACCTGTACGTAACTATTACCTGACAGGATAATTAGAAGAGCAACCGATTAAACATTTGGAAAAACACTACATTCATATTAACTGTATTTAATTAATTTAATTTCATTTGAATCAGATTTCAATAAATCAGATTTAGCTTTCAACTTAGTCCCACCCTTGGCTGAAGTACAGTTCTGCTTCTCAGTTTGTAAACATTGCCCCCGGCACTATGAGAATATTCCACTTCCAGCCCTTGGAATTGCAGGTTTCAGGAGTTCTTTCTTTTCTGTTTACATGAGCAAGGGCTTGATGAAAAACTTACATAAATAAATAAAAACTTTAACCTTAGTCTGCTATTGACCTCACCCCCTTCCTAAGAGGTCTGTAGGGGGCGTGCATAAGCGCACCAATCGTGCCTACCGTCCCTGTCCTATTGTTTCTTTTTATTTTTTTCTTATAAGTATCTATCTCATGTATTCAAAACTATGTTTATTCTTATACCTGGTATCTTGTAAGTGATTGACAAATCAAAGAAATACTAAACAAGTACTAAAATATCAGGGAGGGCAAAGTTCCTACTTCTGCAGAGATTGCACTTTACTCTTAATAAGTTCATGTTAATCGAGTATTAATTAGGATAAAAAAAAACCCCAAGAACCTCAGTCCGCAAAGAAGGTAGACTGAAGAAGGATGGCCAAAATGTAGGTGGGCTAATGAATAAAAGAAACCATTGATGTTAAACAAGATTTGGTGGTGTTGAAGGAAAGGTGAAACCAGCTGCTTCTTGCCTGTGGCTTTGGCATTCTTGTGAATATATTGCTTTCCTGCTCTCTGAGCATATAAATGTTTAACTTGATTTTATTTAAAGCTTTATTACCTTTTATTCCAACTACATGGGACAGAAGAAAGATTGCATTGAGGTGATTGGGGATGAGAATTGGATTAAAATCCAGTTTGCTTTTCTATTTGTTAGTGCCTGATTTCCTGGGGGTGGGTCTCTCCATGAGGGTAGATCAAATTCTCCTCTTGTAAAGGGTTTCTGTGATTGCATTCTCTCTGGCCACCTGCCTGCCACAATGACCTCTTGTTGGAGCATTCTTGGGACGACCTACAATATTTAATTAGCAATATTTTAAGTAGCAAGGGAAAATAGTGTAATAAGATTGGGACTTCTGTCCTCACTGTGGGTTGTGTTGGGGGAAGGGGTGCACAAGGGAGGCTCAGCCAATCTCATTGTACACATGTTGCACTCTGACAATAAAGTAATAATAATAATCTTGCCCAGAATTGTCTATTCTATAAGCATGTTTGAGTCGTGGACAACTCGACTTGCTTTTTGTTGATTTGAGATGTTTTGCTCACCATCAAAGCACCTTCTTCAGCCTGAACACATTGATTAGGGTAGTGTTTCTCAACATAGATATGTGGACTTCCAGAATTTCCCAGCCATGGGAATTCTGGGAGTTGAAGTCCACATGACTTAAAGTTGCCAAGGTGGGTAAACACTGGCTTAGGGGAACCTGAGTAGGCAAGGGAGTCGTTGGAATGTGCCAACTCCTAAAATTCTTAGGGGTTTTCCCACACTAACTTCAGGGCTTCTTCCCCAAAATTATGGCCATATGTTGATGAAGATTCTCCATCATCCAGGCAGAATTGTTTGTAAGTTGAGTCATGGCAAGTGGACTTATTTTTTGTTGGTTTGAGATGTTTAGCTGCTCATCCAAGCAGCTTCTTCAGTCTGAACAAGTTGGTTAGAGGAATCTGGGTAAGCAGAGAGTCTACCTAAGAAATACCCCTAAGAATTTTAGGAGTTGGCACATTCCAACGACTTTCTGCCTCCTCAGATTCCCCTAACCAACTTGTTCAGATTGAAGAAGCTGCTTGGATGGGCAGCAAGAACGTCTCAAACCCACAAAAAATAAGTCCACCATGACTCAACCTATAGACAACTCTACCTGGATGAGTGAGAATTTTCATTGGCACCTTGCCCAGAATGTTATGTACTGGGCAAATAATACTTTTAATTTTTCTTTCCCCCTCCCATCCCTCCCACCCCCGGCCACCTATTAGGAACTCAGCAGCAAACATCGAAGCTTTTGCATTTCAGTTGTTTTTTTTCCTCCCCTGAAGCAAGTTCAGAAGGAGGGAAAGGTCATGTTAAAATGGCAAACATTCCTCTTGCCACAGAATTTCCCTTCCCCTCCCCACAACATCTCACAGCTGAGAATATGCTTCCTGCCCTTCCCTTGAGCTGGCATGACAGTCCCTTAGTCTCGGATAGGTTTCAGGCTATAAAACTGACTTGCAGCAAAAGGAGATGAACATGTGGGACTATTGTTCAGGATGCCTGCAAACCATATCTTCTTTCAGGACGTTCCATTCCATTCCGTGCATATGCAATCCATCCTCCCTCCCTCCCTCCCTCCCTCCCTCCCTTCCTTCCTTCCTTCCTTCCTTCCTTCCTTCCTTCCTCTGTCTCTTTCTCTCTCTGTCTCTCTCTCTCTCTCTGGCTTTTTTCTTTTTCTTTCTCTTTCTCCCCCTTTCTCTCTCTCTCACATTCATAGGCACCTCAGAGATACTTTTTGAATACTTTTCACATGTTGTCAGTTGACATTCTGTATCCGTTAGGCTTGTACTTGTTTAATGGGTACAGAATGTTGAGTGACAGCTCACTTATCTATTTTGAGGGCAGTTCACTCCTTCAAGCCTTCAGTGTTCGCAATAGCAATAGCACTTAGACTTATATACCACTTCACAGTGCTTTACGGACCTCTCTAAGCAGTTTACAGAGTCAGCTTATTGCCCCTAACAATCTGGGTCCTCATTTTACCGACCTGGGAAGGATGGAAGGCTGAGTCAACCTTGAACCACTCAGAATTGAACTCCTGGAGTGAGCAGTGAGTTAGCCTGTGGTGCTTGCATTCTAACCATTGCACCACCACAGCTCACGTTTCTAGCAACGTTTCTAGAAACATTAGGGTTCCTATCTTTCCCTCTGATTAGTGAGTGTTGCTACTTTCATGGCTGCATCCCCAGAATGGATTCGGTATGAGTATTATGGATAAGAATAGGATTAGGAGTTTCCAGAAGAGCTCATCTGGTTCAATGTGAAGATGGGCATGAGATCCTCAGGCAGCTCAAGTAGACAAACTCTATTACAGGTAGTCCTTGACTTACAACCATTTGTTTAGCAACTGTTCAAAGTTATGCCACTGAAAAAAGTCACTTATGACCAGTGTTCTCACTTAACAATTGTCATAGCATCCCTGTGGTCTTATGATCAAAATCTGGATGTTTGGCAATTGACATGTATTTACAACAGTCATGTGATCACCATTCATGGCCTTCCCAGCTGGCTTCTGACAACCAAAGTCAAGAGGAAAAGCTAGATTCACTTAATGACCATGTAATTCACTTAACATCTGCATTTCATAACAATGGAAATTCTCCTCCCAATTGTGGTTATAAGTCAAGGACTTGAATCCAGAATAACACTCTGTTTCCCTTAACTAACCTTTGGCAATGCAGATCTGCATGCTGACCAGGAGCTACAATCCTCCACTGGACCTCTGCTTAGGCAAGACACAATGGCTGCATTCATATATAGCAATGAACCAGACTGTTTAACATTTAATTAAGTTGGGAATTAGCATTGTGCTAATGCATATAGCCTACTATTGAAATAACTGCTAAACAAGCCAGAGAGAATTAGCTCAGCGCGAAAACAAGATGTGTTCATAATATTTTTGTTGCTTTAAGAATCATATGTTGCTGCAGCTTAGTCAGCAATAATTCTAGATCTGGAAGGTACATGAAACTGTTCTTGGCCATTTCTGTTTCATTTACCTGCACACATGAACTTTTGGGTGATGCCGTCTTGCTTGTTCTTATTTTAATTTGGCACATCAAATTTGGAGCTTCTAATTGTGTAATTTTTCTAAAGTTTGCAGTTCAAACCAGTGACAGGTAAAACATGTTACTTCTACAGAAGGAACTTGAACTATGGATGTTTTCTTTGGGCTTGAAGCCAAGAAAGAATTAGGTACTTAAGATAGCTTGATTTTTCTTAATGCTATACCCCTTGCTAATGGATGCTTGGCTCTTTCGCTTTGCAGAATGGACAGGCAGCTCCAGAGGAGAGAAAAGAGGCTTTGCCAAAGGTAAGACTCCAGATGTTTTTTTAAAAAACTGCGCTTTATAGCATAATATTTCCTGCTCAATATATTTGGCCTGTGTTTGTACCATCCATATTTTTTCTAATGTTTATGGTTTTAATAGATATCTGAATTACACTGTTTTATTAATGATGTTGTTTTAATTGGTGGTTGGTAGCTACCCAGAGCTCAATATAAGGTGGGTGGCTATATAAATATTTTAAATAAATAAATATGTTTTGGAGGACCAGTTTCCATCAGCAGATGAGAAAAGGACAAAGTAGTTTCATTATCAAGATGAGGGAGAAAGTTTCCTAAACTTTAATTTAAAACAGAGGTCTCCAAACTTAGCAACTTTAAGACGTGTGGACTAGCTGGCTGGAGAATTTTGAGAGTTGAAGTCCACACATCTTAAAGTTGCCAAATTGCCAAGTTTGGAGACCCCTAGTTTAAAAGATGCTAACTACAATTTTGTAAACAACAAACTAATAGACTCAAGGTCCATCCCACCCCTGAAAGGACCTAATGGTAAAGACTGCAACGAAGACACCATTAAAGCCAACCTCTTTAACACATTCTTTGGCTCAGTATTTGTAAACAGCAATGGATCATGCCCAGTATTTCCTAATCGAACCACAGACAACTACAATGATCTAATACATATCGATTTTACAGAAGACAATGTTGAAAAAGTACTATGCAATCTAAAACCAATGGTATATAAGGTGAGCGTGAATTTGATTTAGGTCTGTAAAAAAAGATGTAACCCGGGGCTAAGCCACTTTTCAAAAGAAGTCTTATGATTTATGTTTTGGTTAGCTATGTTTGATTGTAAATTAATAAAACCTTGGAGGAATAAAACTAAAGGGAGAGAAATTTAGACTGTCTACTATTGACCTCACCCCTTTCCTAAGAGGTCTGTAGGGGGCGTGCATAAGCACACCAACATGCCTACCGTCCCTGTCCTATTGTTTCTTTTATTTTTTTATTTTTCTTATATGTATCCATGTATTCATAACTATGTTTTTTACTTATACCTATTATCTTGTGAGCAATTGACAAAAATAAATAAATAAATTAAATAAATAAAAAATTAAACTTTTTTTTCAACCTCGATTGAAGGAAAGCAAAAATAATCCTCCATATGTACCAAAAGATCCTATTTCCTCATCTATGCAGGTAGTTTTCATCTTATAGCAGTTCATTTAGTGACCAAAGTGACGACAACACCTTCTTTTCTCTAGATTGGCCAAACCCGAATCCTGCAACTGTTGTTCATAGGTTTTTAATCTCCAGGTCTGTAATCATTTTAGTTGCCTTTCTTTGCAATTGGGACCAGAATTTTCAATGCTAAACAAAGTTAAGTGAGTTTAGCAGTTGTTTAGCAAATCATACAATTATTAAACAAATCTGGCCCTCCCATTGGCATTGCATGTCAGAAGCCAGGTGGGAAGGTCTCAGATGGCACTCACATGACCCCAGGACATTGCAGTGGTCGTAAACACACGTTGGTTGCCAAGTGCCTGAATTTTGACCACATGACCATGGGGAAGCTGCAACCACTGTAAGTGTAACTTGGAATGGTGCTAAACGAGTGGTTGTAAATCAAGGACTACCTATACAGTGTTTCTCAATCTTAGAAACTTTTAAGATGTGTGGACTTCAACCCAGAACTCCCCAGCCAGCATGATTTAGGGCAGGACCAGAAACAATGGTTGGAAACTAACCAAAGAGAGAAGCAACCTGGAATTAAGGAGAAACTTCCTAACAGGGAGGACAATTAACCAGTGGAACAGCTTGCCTTCGGATGTTGTGGGTGCTGCATCAATGGAGGCTTTTATGAAGAGACTGGACAGTCACTTGTCTGAGATGGTATAGGTTCTCTTGCTTGAGCAGGGAGCTGGACTAGAAGACCTCCAAGCAGGGGTGGGATTCTACCAATTTGCACCTATTCGCTAGAACCGGTTGTTAACATTCTAAGCAGTTCGGAGAACCGGTTGTTAGAAGAAATTACTGGCCTAATCCTGTAAGGAAGGCAGGAAGGAAACATTCTGGTGTTGCTTACAGAAAGGGCCTCTCCATTAACCCTTATTGCATTCTTGGCAGGAATAGACTTCCTGTCTCAGGAACTTCTCTAGAGTTTTTTCCCCCTCCTTTGCTGGTACTTTGCTTGTTTTGGAGTGACCATACAAAGTTACAGTGGCACTGAAAAAAGTGACTTATGACCATTTTTCACACTTATGACTGTTGCAGCATTCCCACAGTCATGAGAGGCCAGGCGAGGAGATGCGTGCCTCAATATGAGTTATATTGAGTTGGCCACGCCCAGCCAATAACATGACCAACAAGCTACATCCACCCAGTCATATGACCACCAAGCCACGCCTACCAACTAAGCCACGCCCACAGAACTGATTGTTAAAAAAATTGAATCCCAGTCCTGCCTCCAAGGTCCCTTCCAACTCTGATTATTCTATTCCTATCCCTGTTCCTGTTCCTGTTTCCATTCCATTCCATTCCATTCTATTCTATTCTTCTAATTTCTTAACATCTTAAAGTTGTCAAACTGCTGTGGTACATAAACTATGGTACTTGGCCTTTTTTTCCTGCAGCAGCTGTGCACTTTTTCCCAATAAAAGGCAGATTTGGATGTCAATATGCCCATCCAAAAGATGTACGGCTGTCTGTTTTTCATCAGGAATTTAGTACTAAAATCTGCCTGTCTTGTCTGTAACTCTTTCTCTTTCACATAAATATTGTCAGGATTATTAGAAATGGCTTTTCTTTTGAGAAATTCTATTCTATGAATTCTGGATGTTGCAAGACTCCACTGGCCTTTACAAATACTTTCATTTCCCTTGTAAAAGTTGCTTCACCCCTTTGTTCTAAAACAAGAAAATGGTAGGATCAACTGTGCTTCTGATGGAGAGAAACAGAGGCAGCTTATCTTGCTGGATGTCAGAGCAAGGATGATCAATAAGATTTTGAAGATTAGAGCAGGGACATCCTGGGGAGGGGCTTTAGATAGATAGATAGATAGATAGATAGATAGATAGATAGATAGATAG